CTCCCCCTGCTCCTCTCCACCTCCTTTCTTCTCCCCCACAACCTTCAGGGTGCCAGTTGCCTCAGGAGGCCGTGGAGAAGGAGGCAAGAGGACAGACGCCATTTTCTGTTTTGCCTCAAGCGGCAAAATGTCTCCGCCAGCCCAGATTAGTGGGAGTGCTGTGTAGATTTTCTGCCCTGGGAACCGAAATATCTCAAAGCCCTTCTGCAGAAATAATCATACTATCATGACACTTCAGTAGAAATTGAGGACTTTGTTGTTACAATCATATTACAAATAATCACACTGAAAAGGGGCGAAACTAGATGATGTGGTGAGATATCTTGGATCAGAACTGTGTTTTCTTGGATACCTGGTTGTTTTCTTCAACAAGGCAGAAAATCCTTATTCCTGCATTGTAGGGGGTTGGACTAGATGGCCCTTGGGTCCCTTCCAGCTCTACAGTGATACTATAATTCTATGATTTCCATTATGTACCATATTACTATATTGGTTTGGGAAATGAAAGCTTAGCTGACTAACGGTGGTCTTGTGTGCGACGTGGTCTGTTGAGCCAGTGTGTTGATCCTTGAGGCAGAGTATGACAGCTTGATATTTTTATTTTTTTGCAATCTTGTCATTTTTTTTGGTCACTATGGTAACTGCACCCTGGCCACAATATGCAGGTTGTAAGAAAGTCCAGTGGTTTCTCACTCTAATCTTCCATTCTGCCCACACAGATATTGGGCGCAATTCAGAGCAGAGTTATGCACACTTAATTGGCACTTGCTGCCACAGGACAGAAACAATAAAACAGCGTTTTCATTTTTCCTCTTGCAGTTGGATTATTATTTCACTTTCTTGTTTGACCGAAGTCCTGTGTTTCAGAGGTAGGTAAGACACCAGAAAACTCTGCCCTTTTTTTGCTGGTGACGTTCTCTTATGGCCGGCATGTGTTGTTCTAAACTAGGGTTGCTTGATGAACAAAATCTGACTTGGATGCTTCTTTAAATGCACACGTGCATATGCCCAAGATTTCTGAGGAACAATCACAATTTAAAAGTTTCTTTTAAAATAGAATATTGAGTGAGCACACTTCATATTGCAGCCCTTCTGTACTGTGAGGTCAAAGGTGCAGGGAGGGTTAGGATGCGATTACCATCGCCTGGTAATATTCCTCACCCCCAGTACCTAATACCTGAAGCTACAGTGCTCCTGCTCAGGGATGTTCTCTTTCTTTGTCACGCTTACTAAGATAATAAGGGAAGGAGCATCTCGTACAGCATCCTCAGGCGCTTCCTGAGGAGCCCACGTGAAACCCAAACATCCCCCTTCTCCTCTTTCCCTCACGTCACGCAGGGATTCCAATAGCGACTTGTGCTGAGCTGCCAACTGGGCTCAAAGACACAAACGCACAAGTGGGAATTTGCAGGGACTGCCGATCTGCTGAAGAAGAAGGACATGACTCACCCCTCATTAGAAGGACTGCAGGGACAGGGGGCAATTCTGTTCCTCTGCATCCATCTCCAGATGTAGGTCAAGCGTGATCAGTGGACTGTGAGATTTAACAGCTTGAGAGCATATTTCAATTAATAATGGAAGCACGGTTGCTCTAATTGATAATTTGTCATAGACAAACACGGTCTATCCAAGGCATAGCCTTGATAAAGTTATGTTTATTGTTTTAATATTAAAACACAGGTGGTGATGCTTAGTCTTTCAGCAACATGCTTCTGAGCTTTCAGATTTTGCTCCATGCTAGGATTGAAGTCAGATTTTCTGAGTGTGGCCTTTCCTGTTTCCACGCTATCTTACGTAGCATAACCTGATTTATCTGAATAGCATAGGAGACACTGAATGGGATGATCACATATTTGAATAAATGGAGGTAACATATATGTTGAAATGTGCCTCTCATGCCACAGTCCTGAGAAAAGTGTGATTAATCGGATACAGTTGATGGGAGGGGAATAAAACATATCTATAAGACTGAACAAAAATACCCCATTCTGTTGTTGGAAAAGTGCATGGAAATCAATTTATTTGTAGAGTGACCCAATTCACAAGCTTTATTTTTGCAGCTGAGTTTCTTGCAGCCTTGCTCTAATTTTTGAGATGTGTGAGGAAGTTGGTGAGAAAGAGAGAGGGGAATCAGGAGCCTGTAACTTCCTTAGCTACAGTGAGGATGAGCACCTGCGTATCACCCCCCTCAAAAAAAGTTGTCTGGTTAGAAAGAGCATGCAAAAATTCACTTTTTGAAGTGTCTCTGATTGGTGAAATGTTAAATTATAACATGGTGGTTGGAAATAATAATAATAATAATAATAATAATAATAATACTTTTATCATTTATTTCCCTGGCCACTCTGGGCTGCTTCCAGCACATATAAAAACATAATAAAATGTCAAACATTAAAAACTTCTTGAATGAAATGTGGGAATGGATTAAATTCCTGGTGTATCTTGGGTCGTTCTAACAGGAGAGACCTGTGATGACCAGGGACATACTTGAATGCTCATGGCTCGGGTGAGCCCATTCCTGCGACCGAGAAGGGCTGCTCTCTGCCACCCTGACCCAGAGCTGCTGCAGCCAGGCGCAAGGTGCGCTGTGGCCAAGGAGGGTGGGCAGCAGTGTTGCCACCTGCTCTCCTGCCCTGGGTCAGGCCTGTCCTGGGGCGGAGCCACAGCCAGGCACGAGTGCCACAGCCAAGGTGTAGCTCCTCACATGGAGCCGGGCTCCAATGAAGCAGCCTGCTGTGGAGGAGCCTTTTGTGCCCCCTCACAAAATTGTGCCCGGGGCCACAGCCCCCCCCCCCCACGCTACGCCTCTGCATGCAGTAGGTCCCAGTTTCAGCCCCCACCATCTCCAAGTGGGCTGGGGAGACAGCCCTGCCTGAAACCCCAAAGAGCTGCTGCCAGTCAGTGTCTAGAGAAGGGTCGGACTCTACAGGGCAGCATCTTACTATTCTTACTGTTCTTACTATGGTCTACATTGCCTCCTCGTGTTACTGACGAGGAGTGAAAGGAACTGGGGTGATGGAGCACTTGTCATTTCTTTATTTTATTCAAATATCAATTGTATTAACATGATATAACTTTCTTCTAAACATATTAAGACAGACGGTATGTAGGCAAGTATTGTGCAACAGTTCCCTGTTCTTTGATCCCTGATCCCCAGCTACAACCTGCACATAATCCCAGATGATACTGAACCTAGCAGAAGAGGACGGAAGAGAACACCTTAACTCCACCTCCAGCAGCGGCAGACTTTGGGTACAAGTGGTAGTGATTCCGGAATGCTGCTTTTTGAGTTGAGACGTGTGGCGCGGCTATCAAAGCGCCATCTGCATTTGGCCGGTGGCAGAATCGTGATCCACGTCCTGGTGGCAGAATCGTGATCCACGTCCTCACAGCATCTCTCTGCTCCCCTCTCCTTTCCTCCCCTGGTCCTAACTTTCAGAAGGGCCTGGTCAGACGGGTGATTGAGTTGCTGCAACCATGACATAGAGCACTTGAGGGCATGCACAGAACGGAAGGCCTTCTGCGCATGCTCTCATGTGCACTACGTCATAGTTGCCTGTCTGACTGGGACCAAACATTGAGTAGGTGCCAGTATAAATGGAGGCATTTTTATTTTTATTTTGCCCCCCACCCCCCGCTAGGCACCCTGTGTAGGAGAACTTCCCACGCTGCCCTGAACCCTGCGCTGCCTCCTGCTATCCTTCATGGTGTTACACATTTATACAGATCACCCCTGAGCATTTGCCATCTGTCTCCACTTAGATCTAAGAGAGCAAATCTCCCTTCCAGGTCTCAGCAGGGCTCTGGTCATAAAATTTGGTCAAACAACTATGGTGGTACGCCTGAATGATTGCTGAAACTTATATGATGGCACAACCTGATTATATCATTTTTCAATCTGTATCCTGTAAACCAGGGGTGTCCAAACTTTTTTCAAAGAGGGCCAGATTTGATGAAGGGCTGCGACGGCTGACCAAAGGGCTGACCAAAGTTGTTGATCTTGTTTTAGGACTGAAGTTGTTGAGCTTTTTTTTATAATTTTACCCCAAAGTTGTAGAGCTTTTTTTAGGATTGAACTACGGGACCGGATTGAACCCAAAACAGACTTTGGACATCCCTGCTGTAAACCATGGGTAGGCAAACTAAGGCCCAGGGGCTGGATCCGGCCCAACTGCCTTCTAAATCCAGCCCACGGATGGTCTGGGAATCAGCATGTTTTTACATGAGTAGGATGTGTCCTTTTATTTAAAATGCATCTCTGGGTTATTTGTGGGGCATTGGAATTCGTTCATTCCCCCCCCCCCCCCCCGCTTCAAAATATAGTCTGGCCCCCCACAAGGTCTGAGGGACAGTGGACCCCCTGCTGAAAAAGTTTGCTGATCCCTGCTGTAAACCACCCTGAGATCCACGGATGAAGGGCGGTTTACAAATTTAATAAATCATCATCATCATGGCCATTGAGTTCATGCAAGCCAAGCAGGGCAACACCCTCCTCCCAAGATGTTTCTTCATCAGCCTTTTGAAAATTACCCGTGGTATCTCTCACATTCATCATTTGGGAGGCACACTTTTGGGATTTTTTTTACCCCTGCATTGCTTTAATGTAATTGGTTTGAGGCAAAGCATGAGAATATGTGCTAAATTTTCGTAATAGTCATAAGTTCATCCTTATTCAATAAAGTGTTTAGACATGGGCACAAATACCACTGAAAAGACAGATTAAGCAATTAACTTTGAAGTTCCCCCAAAAGCCAAGAACAAAAAGCAGTGTGGGGGGGGGGTGCAGGAGGGGAAGATAATGCCAAAGAGAGACAATCAGCTTCTTGGTCCTTCCAATCAAGTCCGTAGTTCTCAGAAGTTGCTTGCCTTGCTTCACACGACCTTTTTCTCCATGACTTTGCAGAAAAAAAGCTTCAAAGTACAAATACTAAATTATGAACATTGCATTAAACTTGAAAGTTAATTTAGAGCGGGTGTATTTTCTCATTATTGTTTCTGCTTTGATGTGAGGCATTACAGGAATTAGGTTAATTCATAGACTCAGGGTTTATTCATAACCATCTCTTATTTGCCTAAATCATCCAAGTTTGAATAGGTGTAAGAGTGTGTGTGTGTGTGTGTGTGTGTGTGTGTGTGTGTGTGTACTACAGCACTTGCACATACCTAGTAAAAATAGCAAGACATGATGCACACAGCCCAGACCTCAAAGCTACTCTCCAGCACCAACTATCTTGATTTAGAAGGAATCCAGGAGCAGGACTTCTTCACCTTATAGCAATTGTGCAGAAAAAGACCCCTGCAGCTGACACAATTTTTCCAGCTCCAGCCTCCTAAACTGGGAGTCTGTGTAGTATAGTGGTTAGAGCATCAGAATAGGACTGGGGAGTCCAGATTCACCCCCCCCCCATTGTGATTTGTGAAGCTGATCTGAGGACTTTGAGCTGGCCACTTACCTCTCAGCCTGATCTCCCTCACAGGATTGTTGTGAGGATAAAAGGGAGCGGGAAGCACCATGTAAACTACCTTAGGCTCCTTGCAGGAATTGGGGCCTAATTGCAGTAAATAACATGGAGAAGTAAAATGTTGTCTTCTAGTAAGGGCACAAGAGTCCTGTCTTCTCAAAGGTACAACTCCTTTGAAGACTGCCAAAGTGAACGCTGGTCCAGGGTCTGCCAGCTTCAGAGAGGGCTCAGCGCAGCTGAACAGCAGTTTCCCCTCCCTCCCTCTCTGCTCTGGACTCAAAAGTAATTGCTTCACTTAGCAATTCCCGAACATCCTAGTGCGCCAGAGCATGCAGGTGCTGAGTGTGCAGTTATGAGTACCATAAAGTGGGGCTGACAACTAATGTGGTTCCCTCCAGAGGCTGTTGGACTCCCCTCAACCCCCCCATGGTCCGTGATCAGGCATGATGGGAGCTGTAGTACAAGTTGAAAACCCCTGCTATAAGGACCCTCACAGCGAGAGAATTAGTATGAGAGTGGCTGATACTTATTCATTCACACGTTAAAACTAAGCTTTTTAAGGGACAAAGGTGAAGTATCAGGAATCTGGGATCATTGTTTTATGTATCTGTGTAATGATAATGTTTTCTCTAGGGAAATCTGATTTGTTTGCATAGACAAACTGATTCAAAGCAGACTGTAGCAGACTTCCCCATTTCTCGTTGCTTTGGATGTCAAGATATTGTGGTGCGCTGTTATTTTCTCAGTGTCTGCATACAGTGGTACCTTGGGTTAGGAACTTAATTCGTTCCGGAGGTCCGTTCTTAACCTGAAACTGTTCTTAGCCTGAGGTACCACTTTAGCTAATGGGCCTCCCGCTGCCGCACAATTTCTGTTCTCATCCTGAAGCAAAGTTCTTAACCCAAGGTACCTTTTCTGGGTTAGCAGAGTCTGTAACCTGAAGCGTCTGTAACCCGAGGTACCATTGTGTTGCCATTGCCTTGTTCTGAGAAGAATCTGGAAGTCCAGCTGTGTGGCGGCAGATGTGTTTTTGTGCTGACTTTGCAGCAATGTAATAAAGCTTATTTCTTGAAGCAGGCATTTTTCCTCACCAAGCCTGTGAAATGAATGTCATGATGGATTCTGGTATTAGCTTGCTTTCTGATAAATACTTCGGAACCAAGCCCAGAGCTGGAGGTGGACAGGCGATGGCAGGCACAGATGCAGCTCCCCTCCTGCAACACAAGACGCTCTCTGCATTCCTTTCCTTTCCATCAGAACTGATGGCTTCCAGGCTTATTGACTGTATCTAGTGCTCAGTTCAAGCCTGTCCAGAGGCAGAAGGTCGCTATCGGATCATTTTACGGAAGATGAAAGTAGTGCCCAAAACTTCAACCTAACTGATGTCTTTATAAAAATATGTAGCCCTATTTTAAGTTTGGTTAATTTCCCTTTGAAATGTTATTTGGACGATTATTTTAGTCCTTATTAAATTATGTGCATTCCTGGCTAGTGATTTCTAAAACATAGCAAAGTTTTTAAATACCTTCATCCTCTTCATACTCTTGTTTGAATATTAAGGAAACCCAACCTTACTTGGGAGGGGGGATTAACATTATTACCATGCTGTCACTGTGCCTGGCATTTTATGGAGTTACAAAAGCAACACAGATCCCAAGGAGCTTCCAGTCCCAAACAGACTGTGGGCAAACTGGTATGTAATTTACAAAAGACAGTCCTGCTGCCTGAACAAAGAAACGGACAAAATGTCCAAGTCAGGACCCGAGGCTCCTCCATTCTTGAATGGGATACCAAGCAAACTACACTTCACTGGATCACAAAGATCGATGCACATGAATGAAACATTATCAGGCCACACGACTGAGCATTATGGGCTGGAGAGAACTCTTTGAATGTTGTTGCTGAAAGCATGCCAAGCAAGCACATTGATGCCAAGGTGCTTCTGAGCTGAGCCCAGGCTGCTGCTTTGCTAATGCCCAGCTGCTTCCTGCTCTGCATCCCAGGGACGTCCCAGGTCAGGCTGGGAGGGAGGCCGGGACATGGGACTCCCTCCTCTAGGAAGCCCACTTGGTTCCCTGCTTTATGGGCATTTTGGCATACTGTTAAAAACTTTTCTGGTTTTCCCTCACTTGGTTTAATTCCCTATTATTTTATCTATTCTTTTATTGTTTTTCTTTTTTGCTTCAAAATATTAAAGTTTTTCCATGCTGACATCAGGATGCTGGTTCCTTGTTGCTGAATCTTTCTGCATGCTGCTTATTAAAATACAGTTACACTCTGTCCTGGAAAAGAAACTCTCAGGTACCAATTTATACAGCATTTATTTATAGAATACTTTTGGGGGGGGGATTAAAAACCATTTCTAAGCATACAATTAGGGTTATTCAACCTTAAGCAGTCCTTAATATAGGCAGAGATATTTCCCCTGAAACTTTGGTTTAGCTTCCATAGAGATCATTTCTAATCATTGCTACCGGCAATCTAGTGAACATGCTAAAACAGGATTGATGAGCAGATTTTATTTATGAATATATTTTGAGATTGTTAACATAGACATACCAGAAGCGCACAGAGGTGGATTGCTCTTAATGTTACTAATTTGGTCAAAGCAATTTGCCACTGCAGAGCTTACAAGTGTTTCCATTCCCAAATGCCAAAGGATAGTTAATGAAGGCTGTCTGTTTTGGCAGCTGATAAACCGCTAATGAATGTGAAGGATGCTGAGAGTTTTGTACTTACCTAAAGCATTGTTCTGGGGAGACACCTGCCCATTGTATGCTGGGCAGGGTTGCTATGCAGAAACATCCTCCTCCCACCCCAGCTGCTGCCATGAAATGACACCCTACAAAGTCACATCACTGGTCAGACCGTGGCGGCTACCTTCACGGTCGGACAGGGTCTTCTGAATGCCAGAATCAAGAGGGGAGAGTGCTGTGGTACCCAAGTCCTGCTGGTGGACTTTTGATGGATCAGAGGCGGTTTTAGGGTAGCACAACTGCTGCTGCTCTGGGCCTTGCACTGCAGGAGGTGCCACAACAATGCTGTAGAATGAAGCGATGGTGAAATTTGAGAGCCCAGAGTCAGCCACTTTGTTGGTATGTAGTTGGCCACTGGAAGAAGAGGATGATAGACTATATGGGCTTTTAGCTTGAACCAGCAGGATTCTTCTCATGTCCCTCTGGATCAGCATTGTCTGCACCAGGGGTCTTCAATGTTTCTGAGCCCAGGGGTACATTTGCAAACCTAATAAACTCTTGTGGTCACTTCAAATCATTTATCCACCTCTGAAACACATTCAGAGTTAACCTCCCCAGATGTGATGTTTGCAGTGGGTAGGGTTGCCACCCGTCCCTTCAAAAATGGGACTGTCCTTTGGGGGGGAGGGTGTCCCCTGTCCTCTTTAGGCTACAAACAAGACACCTTCCTCCCCCCATATTCCAAGAAAATTTGTGCCAGATCTCCAAACTCTGTATTTTTCCACTGTCTTGTGGCAAAAAACCCCCTTTCTACAGAAGGAAAGATGTTAATTTAGCCTTATTAAGTTATTTTCAGAAATGTTTTGGGAAGGCTTGCAGGTCTAAGTATGAAATTCCTTGCAGGTTCCCTCCAATCTAGGCAAGTAAGTTTACAAAGCCCAGCCATGCTATGGTCAGGCATGCAATATTCAGCATGTTTCTCCTGCCCCTGTGCCAGATCTCCACTTCATCTTTCAGCTCTACACACTTCTCAAGAGTGAGGTTAATTCTGCCAGAAGTGTCTAGACAGAATGGTGCCCACAGCACTCACTGAAAACCCCCAAAGTCCCAAACAGGTTGGGGACCCCTGGTCTGCATTGACTGGCAGAGTTTCAGACGGAGATTCTCTCCTTGTCCTGCCTCAAGATTGAACTCTTCTGCATGCAGAGCAGATGCTCTGCCACTGATCTCTGGTCCTCACTCCTTTCTTGTGGCCACCACTGCAAACAAAGCCAGCCTGCCAGTTATGTGTGGAAGCCCCCTGGGGCTGGATAATAATAATAATAATAATAATAATAATAATAATAATAATAATTTATTTCTACCCCACCCATCTGGCTGGGTTTCCCCAGCCACTATGGGCAGATTTCAACAGAACATTAAAGACAGAATAAAACTTCAAACATTAAAAACTTCCCTAAACAGGGCTGCCTTCAGATGTCTTCTAAAAGTTGGGTAGTTGTTTATTTCCTTGACATCTGACAGGAGGGTGTTCCACAGGGCGGGTGCCACTACCGAGAAGGCCCTCTGCCTGGGTTCCCTGTAACCTCAATTCTTGCAGGGAGGGAACTGCCAGAAGGCCCTCAGAGCTGGACCCCCATGTCCGGGCTGAATGATGGGGGTGGACGATGGGGCTGCCTGCCTGCCTGCCTGCCTGCCTGGGACGGCCAAAACAAGGGTGTTGGCAAAGGTTCTGACAGGCTGAGGGCACTGTGCACAGGACCTGTGATCTGTGTTATAGTTTGGTGGGTCACTGCTTGAGCAGGGAAGGTCTAGTGTCTCACGAACCCGAAGCAGTATGCCAGTAGAAAAGTTAGGATTCCCCTGCAATAGAGTTGTGCCATTTATAACAGCATTAGCATTAGCAGGTGGATTAACAATTCTTGCCTGTAACAATCAAGGGGACTCGGGCCGTCTCGCAGGTGATGGGTATCTGTTAATCTTGTTTGGGAATAACAAGCTCTTGGTTTAAAGTCTTCCAGAGAGAGATAGAGATGTGTCATTCTGGTCA